AAAGAAGGAAAGAAAATAAAGGGGTAAAGATGGGCAGAAGGCTTGAAAGGAAACCCAGTCTCCAGCACTGCCCACAAGCTTACCAACATAACAAGATGTCAGCAGGCGCAGCAGGTTCCGGGCCACGTGGCGAGAGGCCACTGTGGGGCCGAGCTTGGCCGACAGCCAGCGGACCATCTTGCAGGCTGTATCTGTGGGGCAGGAGCAGGCCCTGAGCTCGTCAGATAGCGGTGCTCAGCGCTCCTCCCAGGCCGCCCCTCTGCACCACACCCCACCTACCCAACTTTGGCTGCAGCTCTCTTGTAGAGCCAAGCCTAAGCCTGATGGCACCACCCTACCCTCTCCACTGGCAGAGGCAGAGGTGCCTGACCCTGGCCCACTGTCTACTAGTAGATCCTCTCCTCAGGCATGTGCTACAAGAAGATCACACTTTCAGTGAATCTTTCCAGGTCCCTAAATGAGGCGAGGTCTGGCTGGGCCCTGGGTACATCCCTCCCCCCCCCCCCCCGCCGGCCTCTTTCCTATACTGTCCGACCACAGCAGCTTTTCGTGCTTCTATGATGGAACCACGACAGCCTCAGCCTGGCATGCTCCTCCCACCTCCCACCCTCCCATTTCTGACTATTTCACACAACCTTTGAACCTCAATTGTCCCTCTACCTCCTCTCTCTCCAACCACGCTGGGCTTAAACTCAGAGCCCCGTGCATTCAAGGCAAGCACCCTACCACTGAGCTCCACCCTCAGCCCCATATCCCTACTTTCAAGGGAGGTTTCTCTGGCCCTTAAAACTGGATGTAAGCCCCATTTCCACTCAGTGACAGCACTGACATATTACACTCCATAAGACTGTCCCTCTTTGGCATCATCTCTGCTAGACGTGAACTCCACCAACACAGGTCACAATCACGCTGTGTGGACGTGGCTGGACCCGCTGCTTGGCAGAGCAAAGCTAAGGGAAGAGCAGGGGAGGGCCCTACCCATACCCCCCCAGATCTGAGGACTCACCAAGGAGGATCTTCTGCTCTTTCCCTTCCGACTCCTCTGTGAGGGGCTCCTCTTCCTCCTGTCTGTCTCCCCCGTTGCCACTGCCCACAACTGTCTCCATGGACAGCACCGTGTCGGACAGAGTGAGCTCGGATGCCCCAGTGACTTCCTCTTGCTCCCCTTCCTCATCTTCCAACACCACACAGCCTTCCTCCTCCTCTTCTTCCTCCTCGGAGCCCTCACTCTGCTTCAAATCCTGGCTGCTGTCACCTGACCTGAGGCTGTTCTTGTCCACAGGGGCACCTCCGTCATCTGCAGTCCGCTCCTCCCCCAGGGAGGCTTCGCTGGTGCTGCTTTTGTCACTCAGCCGGCCCAGGCTCACAGCCTCAGCCTCCTGGGGCTGTGGAGACTCAGCTACGTAGAGCCCAGCTTGGAAGTCCTCCGTCTCAGGGAGGTCGGCCTGGTCGTGGAAGCTAACACCAGATGTGTAGTCTGGGAGGTCCAGGCCCGAGGAGGCACCTGGCTCCTCTTCCATCTGCATCTCCTCCCCAAAGGCACAGGAGGTGGGCCCGGCACCTGGGAGCTCACTTTCCTCATCCTCAGTGGCTCCCACAAGGCCTTTGCTCTCCTCCTGTGAGGCCTCCATGCCAGCCAGCACCTGCAGGACATGAGGCAGCAGGTGGACCAGAAAGGCTTGCAAGCCCAGTCGCACCATTAGCTGGGCCACAAAGCAGTCAGTGTACAGGTAGAAGCGGCCATGCAGCCGGCAGGGGCTCTCGTAGGCACCAATGAGAGGCTTCAGGAGGTACTTATTGGCATTCTTGGGGCCCAGTGCCTTAGCAACAGGTTCGAATAGGTACCAGGCTGTGTACACGGCTGTGTGCTCCTCGGACATGAGTGACAGCACGAAGGGCAGCAGGATCTCCAGACCCTCGGGAGTGATGTCACTTAGCACTGCACCCAGCTGCTGCCACAGAGCAAACACCAGCTCCCGTCCCTGGGCTTCATCCTCCACGCGCCTCGCCTGGTACAGGAGGATGAACCTGTGCAGCGCCGGGAAGTAGGAAGGGAAGGGAACCACAGAGCTGAAGGGGCTGAGAAGCTGGGCTGGGCTGGGCGGGGGCAATCCCTGGGAGATAGGTTTGTACTCAAACAGTGGGTCCAGCTTGCCTCTCCTTGCCACCACGGAGCCTTCAGATCCACTCAGCTGCAGAAGTGTGTCCAGCATAGGCTGCAAAGACACAGGGATCTCCCTGGGGTGGCAGGTGCACAGCCCCCGAATGGCCTCGAAGCGTACCCACAAGGGGGCATCAGGCTGCAGCGTCCGGACTCTAGTGGCAAACACCATCTCAGCCAACAGGACACCCAGTGCCTGCATGTCCCTTTGGAAGAGGTCCTGCAGCTGCACAGGTGGCTGGACCTGAGGCTGCTCAGGTACCTCCAGCCGGCCCCCTAGTCCTTTGGCCAGGAAGTTGCCCATTTTCTCCAGCTCCTCCAGGGCCTGCAAGGGACTGAAACCCTCAGGAAGAAGGATCTTCCCCTCCTCACCCTCCCCAAGTTCTGCCCCAGTGGCTTTGTTCCTGCGGCCCGGTCGAGAGGCAGAAGCTGCTGAGAAAGACAGGAGACCACTGGGGGCTTGACTGGAGGAGGAGCCCAGCTGGTCACCTGCTTTCCCAGGCAGGGAGATGGAATCCAGAGCTTCTGTGGCCTGCTCTAAGTCATCTTCCCCTGCCATGGGCCTGTCTCTGGTCCAGCCAGCCTCACATGGAGTGGCCTCTAAAACCAATCTGCCTACACCATTTGTGAGGGGTTGTGGGAAATCCTCCCTGCCTGTGGTCTCCTGGATGGCCTGGACCAACAGCCGAGGGATGACTGGAGGTTCAGGGCCAAGGGCAGGCACCCCAGCCAGGCGCTGGGGATGCGGCTGATCGAAAAGCTGTACCACACCATAGCTGGTGAGGTAGGTGTGGGCGTCTACCAGGTGCAGACACACATTCTTCTCCTTCACAGCCTCCTTGCCCTGGAGCTTATAGCCAAAAGTGAGGTCAATCCAGTGGTGCAGGTCCTGGGATACCTCACGGCTCTCCAGCAGTGCCTGGTGGGCAGCCACAAACTCCTGGCTGGAGCTGCACCAGGCTGGCACGTCCAGGTCAGGCATGTCAGGGTGGATGGAGCAAAAGATAGAGGGGTCAGTATAGAACTCAGGGATGCACTCATCAGGTGTCCAGGCCTGCATCCGCTCCATGCTGGCGGGGTACTCATGGGGCTCCCACTGTGCTCGGACATGTCCACAGAGCACTGAGCGGGGTGTGCGTCGAGCCTTGTATACATAGTATGTGATGTCGGAGAGCACATCTGAGATGTGGTGAGGAACATGAGGTGGTTCCCCACTGCCCGCACCACCTGCTACAAATGCCTGCCGGGTCATCTCATAAGTGAAGTCCAGCTGCTTATCTCCCTTGTTGAGGCGGAACTTGGACTTGCGCAGGTCTCGGAAGCGCCCATGAGGCATTGTGAAGTCCACCACCCAGGGCAGCACTGGGTGGTAGTTGGGATCTCCCTGCCGCCTACCTGCCAACCTATTCAGCTGCATAAGGTAGTGGAAATTGCTGATTCTACCATGGACCCAGTCAAGCACAAGGCCCTTAAGCTCTTCCTTGCAGATGGGACACCCAGGTCTCCCTGCCTCCTCTTCAGACTGAGCGCCTGTTCTATCCGTCACTACAGGGGTCTCCTTGTTCTCATCCTTCATAGGCATCTCATAAGCACTCAGGTCCAGCCGTAGCTCACTGCAAAGCTTCTCATCAATAGCGATGTGATGTAAAGACAGAGCCCCGCAGGCCAGGCCCTGGCGGTGACAGGCATCCATGGCCCTCAGCACGCGGAAGAGAATGAAAAGCACCTTGGCTTGGCTATTGGTCAGCTTGGCAGGGCTGAAGGTGACTACATCATGCAGAGAAAACTGGACATAAGGGTGTACCACATACAACATTTCTGGTGACTCCAGCAGGGCCTCAGCCCGCAAAAGGCTGGGACAGGCCGGGGTGCTCCGAGAGGGACAGGGACCATCTCTGGCATATGATGGGCACTGGGTGGTCTCACCCAGTGGCAGGAAGGGGCAACCATAGACCCTCTGCAGAGCCTGTCTTACTGAGTCCAGGGCAGGGACTGCTGAGGGGGCAGGACTATGACTATAGGGCTGCCCATAAGTGCGGTATGCATGGCGCCACAGGTTGCGGTAATTCTGGCCAGCCACCTCTTGCATGAAGCGAGTGAGGGTCTCAGGGCTGGAGGACCCCTCCTCAACGGACAGGCCCCCGCCCAGTGGGTAGGTCAGTCTCCGTTTCCGCAGCCCATGCACCTCCACGCGCGTCCAGCCCGGGGGCAGCCTCTGTGCGGAGCGCTGCAACAGAGTCCTGACTTCCGCTTCGCCCAGGCCCTCTGCGCGGGGGCTGGGTCCCAGCCGGCGCTCTCGGAGGCTGGCCAGCCAGCGCGCGGGCACTAGGGCCACCACGTGGGTGCCCGCCGGGGCCGGGGCCAGCTGCCGGGCATCGATGTTTAGGTCCCTCTCCACGCACTTGAGCAGCTCCTCCATGTCTGGGCTAGGGGGTGGCGACCAGCCCTCGGCCCGGGTGGGAAGAGCGACTTCCCGCGCCCTGCTCCCCTGGGCCATCTCCTCCTGGCCGCCTGGGGGCAGCGCGGGGCTAAGCCTGGCCACGGCCCTCTTCGAGCTGGCTTCCGGGGTGCCAGGCCGGGAGGGTTGAGATGGGCGAGGGCCAGAGACTGGGGCGCAGATGGCTGGGGTAAACCGGCGACAGAGGAGGAGAGGACGGGGCGGGGGAGCTCTTACCCCTCCACAGGGTCCTGCGGGCTCCGGTCGCGGCGCAGCCGGGGCTGCCGGGCGCCAGCCCTGGGTTCCATCGTGACGGGTCAGCTGACGCGGGTCATGTGATCCCCCCGGCACGGAAACAACTGCACGTGGCTCAGAAGGGTGGGAGAGAACCCGCCTCCTGTGCGCGCCAGCCCCTGCCGGCCTAGGCACCCTCTCTCCTGCCCTTCTGCCCAGGCGCAGTCCTGGCTTTGCTTCCTGCTGGGCCTTCCAACGCAATCCACTCCCGCGGTTGGCAGGAGAGGGCCATCCCGACCTGGCCACGGGACTGCCCTCCCGCTTTCTCCTGCGCGTAGATCCAGGAGGCTGTTCTTAGACATGCCAGCCCTTATGCCAAGTGTAAGCGCAGAAATGGGATTTGGGGCATCAAGCCCCCTCAGAGCCTCCATGCTGCCCTTCAAACCAAGGAGCTTTTAAGTTTTCCGAAGCACAGTAACATTCTCCTTGGCCCTAACAACACCACCCTAGGAAGTAGAGAACGGAGTTACTATTATATTTTACAAGGCTGCAACAAGAGATACCCAAGAGGCTGGGGTAGGGGGAGTAGACAGTAGAATCTGGTGTCTAGACTTGTTTCAGGCGTGGGACCTTCCTTCCTGACAGCCCACTGGTGGCTTTTTTTGTTTTTTCTTTTTTTCTTTTTCCTGTTTTAATTCTGAGAGATCTAGGGAGAGAAGTGGCTCAGGCCCAGAGACCCAGATTCTTGGGAGGAAGTGTTCCCCCAATAATTCCTGTTAAAGATCTGCCTCAAGGTGCCACAGAGCAAACGCTACTGTGGCAGTGAGTAGGGCACAGGAGAGGGGACAGAAGTGCATGACTCCTTTGAGGGAGTCTTGAGGGCGCCGTGGTCTGCGGTGTGCTGGCTCTGTGTAGTTGTTGTTGGAGTCTTATAAGAGTTTGGGGTAGAGCTGGAGGCCCCTTAAAGGTACTTGAAAGAGATGGCCTGATAAGTAACTGAGAAGACAGGAATGGTTCGGCCATGACAGGTTCCATCCACTTCCTCCTTGGGGATAGCTGGAGCCCCTGACGTCCTTGGTCCCACGACTGTAGGCAGTAATTACTTAAAATCACCATTTATGGAGCATTTACCAGAAGCCAGTCCCCTGCTAAGCACTTTTTGTTTAATCATCACCACTACCCCTTTAAAAAGCTATTTTTATACCCATTTTAGGATGAAGCAACATTTGCAAACTTGCTCAAGGTCACATAAGGAGCTAAGAAAAAGTTGAAAGCTGGGAATGGTGGCACAGGCCTGTAATCCCAGCACTCGGGAGGCTAAGGCAGGAGGATCGCTCCAAGTCTGAGGCCACCTGGGCCAGCCTGAGACCCTGTCTCAAAACACACACACACACACACACAAGAAAAAGTTGAGCCAGGATTCAAACTCAGGCCTATCTCATTCTTTATTATTATTATTACTACTACTATTATTATTATTATTTGTCTTTTTGAGACAGGGTCTCGCTATGCAGTTCAGGCTGGCCTTGTGCTCACTTTGTAGCCCAGGCTGGCCTTGAACTTGCAGCAATCCTTCTGCCTCAACCTCCCAAGTGCTAGAATTACAAGCATGCACCACCACCTATCTGAGCCTGGTAGGCTCAGGCCTATCTCATTCTAAAACCTGTGTCCTTTGTACTTTTTAACTGCTCACTATTATTTTTTTTTTTTTTTTACCAACGTAATGAAATGTCCTTGACAATTCCTCATCCCCAACTTTAATATGAGTACCAGAATGTCAGTGTTTGTCTGTCTGGTTTTTTAATTTTTAATTTTTTTAATTTTAATTTTTAAGTTTTAAATTTTAATTTTTAATTTTGTCTGCCTTAAACTCACTGGTGTGTAGCCCAAAAATGTGATCTCCAGGAAGAAGCTTTGAGATCTTTTTGTTCAAGTCCAGTACCAACCATACCAACAGAGGCTACAGAGAATTTGCAGGCTGTAATACCCTTAATGATGAAATAATATGTAACATGATTTAAATTTGTGGCATATGTATATATACACATTCAATATAATTTTTTTTTCTTTGTGTGTGTGTGTGGGGGTCTTTTTGAGACAGGGTCTCACTATGCAGTTCAGGCTGGCCTTGAGTTCACTTTGTAGCCCAGGCTGGTCTCGAGCTCACAACGATCCTCCTGCCTCAACCTCCCGAGTTCTGGGATTACAAGCGTGCGCCACCACGCCCAGCTCAAAATAATACTTGAATAAATGTGTTATCAGAAGATAAGAAAATTTGTGGGTTTGTTTTTGTTTTTTGAGACAGGGTCTCCACTTGTGGTTCAGGCTGGCCTCAATCTTGCAGTGATCCTCCTGCATCAGTCTCCCAAGTTTTGGGATGGGATTACAGATGCAAGCTATCATGCCTGGTTTAATTTTTAAATTTAAATTTAATTAACTATTAATTTGTGGTGCTGGGAATCAAACCTGTTGGCCTTCTTCATGTACTCTTTTGACTGCTGGGCTTAATACCCTTAATCTCTTTAAATTTTTTTCTTGGTGCTGGGGATGGAACCCAGGAGAAGATCTGCTTTGACAGTCAGGAGGTAGTGCCCTAGTCTCAGTACAAATAAAACTAGATTTACCTAGGTCTTTTTTTTCTGCAAATCTGTGTGTGTGCTGCCCCCTGGTGTTGGCTTTATGCTGTAAGTACTAGTGACCTTGAGGGTACCTAATCTTGCTTCTTGCAGTGCTCCTTTCTCTGCCTAGAATTCAGATGTCCTTGCAATCAATGCCAGGCCCTAGAGCATTAAGATTCCTGGGCATCACAACTTCCATGATCTGAGAAGTGGTTTTGTCTATATTTTTGCAATGCTGGAGATCAAACCCAGGACCTCATGCATGCTAAGCAAGTACTCCACCGCTGAACTATATTCTCAGCACGGAGAGAAGTCATTTCCAAACGTTAGGTTGTACTTCTGATTCAGCAGTCTGGTAGAGAACCAGGATATAGATTGACTGATTGTGATACTAGGGACAGAATGCAGGCCTTCATGCATACTGGGCAAGTGCTATACCGCTGAACTATATCCCCAGCTGTTATGACTTGTATCTAAATGTGTTCCCGAAGTCTCATCTGGTCATACATAGGTGGGGCTTTTCAGAGGTGGTTGTATCTAGGGTATGTGATGCTGGGATCAAGAATATGGTGCTGGGATTGGTTCACAGTGAGATGCTAGGATTAAGGGTGTGAGTGCTACCAGCCCTAAGGGAGAGTAACCTGGATAAAATATAAGACACAGAAAGAGCTGCTATTGTTGTTTGTTGCTGCTTGCTGCTTACTTGCTACCTGCTGCCGGCTGCTGTGTGATGCCCCTCTGCCACATCACCCTGCCTTGGAGCCAGGCAACTATGAACTGAAATCTCTACAAACTGTAAGCTACAGTAAGCCTTTCTTCCTTTAACTTTGGGTGTTGGGTATTTTGTCTCAGAAATTAGAAAAGTAAGACACCAGCCAGGAAATGAATTTTTAAAAAGCACCACAGGTAATTCTGATACAGCAATATTTGGAACACATCTTGAAAAATATGCTGTGGGGGTGGGTTACAGATCAGTGATTAGAATGCTAAACATGCACAAGGCCACAGGTTCAATCTCCAGAAATAATAATAATAATAATAATAATAATAATACTCTATAATGTTTCTACTTGCAAATTGCACTCTCCTTCACTGCAGAAGTCCTACCCCTGAGCCCTATTCAAGCATCCTTGGGCTCTGGGGAATCTGAGACAAAATTAGTCACCTTTCTTTGCCAACCCCATTATTGGGTTTCTAAGAGGTTACATCTTGGATGGTCAGAGAGGGTTATATCTTGGATGGTCAGCCCCAGCAGTTAGCCCATGCTGAGCAAGGTCAACTCTTGCTGATCTGATAGGGAAAACAGCGAAGGAAGCTAACATTTAGGGCACTAACTATGGGCCAGTGTGCTAGGTACTGTGCTTAGTATTTTCAATCTCTCTCTTTTGTTTGTGTGTGGGGTTGTTTGTTTGTTTTGGGTTTGTTTTTTGTTTTGGTGGTACTGGGCATTGAACCTATGGACTCTCCACCACTGGGGTACATTCCCAGCCTTTTTTTATTTTATTATTTTGAGACAGGGTCTCACTAAGTTGTTGGGTTTTTTTTCCGGTACCAGGACTCAAACTCACGACTTCATGCTTGCCAGGCAGGCGCTGTGCCACTGAGCTAAATCCCCAGCCCAGATCTCACTAAGTTGTGACCCTCACACCTCACCTTTCCAAGTAGCTGGGATAGCAGATATGTGTCACTGTGCCTAGCTTCAAACACACTTTTAAAATTCCTACAACAAACCATGACTATTCCTTCTCCACCGCTATTCTGTAGATGAGGAAATTATCTTCCATATGCTAGTAAGGAGCTAGAATTTGAATTCAAGCTTGCCTAACTCAGGGCTTTTCAACTGGGGTTGATTTTGGCTCCTAGAGGACATTTGGTAGTGTCTGGATCCACTTTGGGTTGTCACAACTGAAAGTTGTCACTAATATCTGGGGTAGAGACCAGGGATGATATTAAACTTCCTGTTGTGCGTAGCCCCCAATGCACATACCAAGAAACTATCTGACTCAAAATGTCAACAGTGCTGAGGTTGAGAAATCCCAGAGTCATAGCCTTCGCTTTTGACCTGGAGGGGGTGGGAAAAGGTTAGGGAGCAGAACAGCATGTAAAGGGGCCACCCCAAGGGCCCTCAGTAGGAAGGGGATGGAGCTGCTCAGTTAAGGATAACAGAGAATGGGGCAGCTGGTGAGATTTCTCTTTCTTCCAAGCTTGGCCAAGGCCCTGCTCAGTTTCTCCCAGCCTTGCCAAGTCAGTCCTGGGACTTCACACTAAGCTTGGCCCGGAGTGACCCTGACGCCCAGCACAGGGTTAGGGCAAAATACTTACTTGGGTCTTTCTGTGGGTCTTCCTAGCCAAAATGTGTTGCACATGCAGTCTCGTGGCACCTCCACATCAACACCCTTGCTGTGGGGAGTGGGCAGGAGCAGAGGATACCACTGAAAGTAAAAGAATGGAGCAGCCAGGGAACCAGGTGGCACCCAAGCAGTTAGAAGGGGAGTGAACGCTGGAAGCCAGGAGTCCCCTCAGGAGGTCCCTGCCTGGAACAGAATAGTGGGCAGTTGGCCTGGGAAGCAGGGTTCTGACCCCGTGGCTTGCTTTCCACAGCTTTTTCTTTCCCCTGGGTCTGGGCCTCAGTATCCCCACGCCGTCCCCAGTAGCCTGCTGGAGCACCCACACATCCAGCCAGCATTCAGGGATTCCCATAGTGGCCTCCCCGCCAGACCATGAGGGCGGGTCTGAGCCCACTGTGCTGACAGGAAATATCTCTCATTCCAAGCTCAGAACCTGAAGAAATAACTCAGAAGGGGGGGAGGGTGCTGGAGTGATGGGGAAAAGATCACACAACTATGTACCCCATATTTGGGGCTCCATTTCCTTCCTTTCCTCACTACCCACGGTGGGTGGATAAGGGGACTAGGAGGAGGATGTGGTAACAGCTGATTTGTCCCCTGAGGTCACACTTTCCAACAATCAGCTGTT